TTTACTCGTGTCCCAGCTAGGAGCTTAGATGGGCTAGGGATGTCAATTACAGGACTATGATAGGGCCCTGCTGCATTATGCATGGCAGTGTCCCGCTGGGGAAAAAATGGCCTACAGCCGGGAACGATGGATGGAGGGATGAATAATGGATGGTGAGATGGAGGAGTGAAATGCTATTGCAATCTGTGTCTCCGACTTGCCCTGTTTCACACCTCTGAAGCTCGGGGCCAAGTCACCCTTGGTGACTCAGAATTGGGAGGTTGTCGACCCAATGGGGTACCTCCATCAGGAAGATCACCCAAGGTCTTTGCCTGTTTTTCTATATGCAGGCATCATTTCATCGTAATCAGTTTGGTAATCATCCTCTGGATATGATTTCATAGCATTGTTTGTAAGCCTTTAGATATTTAAATCTAAGTCTTCGCCTGCAAGTGTATGAGTGTGAGCGTTGGTGCATTTATCTAAAAAGCATGTTGTTTTCTCCAAGCCTTACAACTTAAAACGTGAAAGCAATCAAGAAGAAGAAATGTAATTGTTTGTTTGTTTGTAGCCTTTATTTAACCAGGTGAAAGCCCCTTGAGATCAAAATATCTCTTTTTCAAGGGTGACCTGCAGCACATTGGTTACACATATAACATAAAAACAACAGAACAACAATAAGGACGACATACAACATAAATTACAGGGTACAGTTTACAAACTCTATTTACAGTGACAGGTACCATGAGTATCAAACAGCATGTCACCCAGCCGAGTTTTAAAATGATGCAGGGGAATTAACAGTTGAGACAAAGATGTATGTTTGTCATCCAATAACATCTCAAGAACTGCAGCTCAATTTATTTTATGTATTATTCAGAAGAACATAACTAAGCAGAGAAAAGTAGAGAGTAAATCTTTATGAAACAGGAAGGGTAATTATTTGTACAACTACTGTAGCGGCCAATTAAAAAACAAACAGCGATTTAGAAACATCAAAAACAGATTTGATACAGGACCAACTAATCTGAATTCATTGCAGCCAGATTTGAATCATACAAGCCATGATTAAACATCAAGTAATGTGCAATCATCATACAACGATTAGTAACCCTGATTGGGGTCTTTATCACATCTCATAGTTATCCTTGATATATTTAAAATGTAACATGTCTTTGAATAGACCTTTTTGTTATAAATACTTGATCATCATGATTTGCGGAGAAATCTGTAATGCAAGTAAAGGGGAACTATTGGAAGTGGATGGCAACTTCCTTTAGAGTCTACAAACTTAAAATGTATTGCAGTTTTTTGCTGTGTAATTATATATTAAATATCCTCTTATGTTATTTCTGACAAAGGCTTCTGAATAACCCGAAAATATCTCAGTTGTTTGTATGAAGAAACGTGAAGAGTGTTGTTTGATTACTATCGACCCTCAAGATAAATCACGAAACAAATGCAAACAAAAAGGAAGAACAAGACAATCAATATTGAGTATACCCATCTTACAATTTGGGTTGTTAGCAGCACAAGAAAAATCTCAAAATGTTGTGTATGGTGTGATGCAAAGACGTAGAGGGACGGAAGTTGTATGATGACAGAGTACGTGCACATTTTGAGACTTAATGCTTGATTGATTGTAATTTTGGGGGTTATAAGCAGATGTAGTTACTCATTTGATTTGTTGACCACATTTGCATACTTGCAAAACAAATCATTTAGAAGCACAATAGTATTTGGCTTACAAATAAAGGTCCGATTATTTCGTTGAAAATATAACAGAAACTGTTGATTTGTAATTGGCGACACACATTGAATCAAACAGCAGATTCAGAGCTATACTGAAGATGAAAGCTGTGCGTGTGCAGGTGCTCCATATGCATGCATGTGTGTGAAAGTGTTTTCAACCATGTATACTTGACAGGTCCCTGATGTCAACTAATGTCAGTTAGTGTATCCGTGAATGTGAAAGATGCTGTTGTTGTTCGTCCCCACCATGGTGGGATGACACTATTTGTCACTGTAGTGATGGATTCCGCATCCCTCAGAGGAGCATGTGCAAGCAGCGTCTCTGAAAGGCTGTCTTTGTGTTTCACACTCACTCACTCTCACTCACACACAGACGCACGAATATAACGCACTGCCTGAACTGACAACAAAGGCGCGCTTATCCAATTGTGTGGGGATAAGATTAGGCTGCAAAGAAACTCATAAGGCTAATGTTAGCATCTCCTGCTCCAGTGAGAGCATTTGTTTGTGTAATCAGTAAAGAAAACATGGGATTAGCTTTGAGATGCTGTTTCGGAAATGATGCCCATAAGACCCTTTTGTATAATGTTGACATGCTCCTAAGTAACTGTAGGCAATAGCCTGCTGTCTATCTGATAAAACTATCCTCAGGGAAATAAAGAGTGTTTGTGTTGCTCAGATATCCGATTTAGTTTTCCTCCAAAATAGACTATCCGACAGGCCTGGCCTAACCTGTCTTTACTTACTGTTTCCTTTATAATTGACCCCATAATTAGTTTATCACAAGGAATGAAAATAACTCCTCTGTCATCTGTTGTTTTAAGATGCTAATCTTTTCCTTTTATGAGAGCAGTTCCTTTAATAGCTTACTATAATTCATCAATGTGGGATTATTATGGCTGTTGTAGTTGTATGTTACTCCAACAGGTGAAGTTATTCTTGTTTCTGTGTTTCAGCAGTTTGTACAATCCCTCTTTATGACTTTTCGACCGAAACACTTTATTGTGCCATTTGTTACTTTTTGCTGTTTATATGTAGTTCACATTTTTATTAACAACGCTTAACTGACTAAAAGAGATGGATAGATGAAGACCTTTCTTCTGCAGTACAGGGGCATCTTTAAAATATTTGACACAGTAGTAGGGTGGTATGACCCTTGACGATTACTTTTCAGTCAGGACCTGCAGTTTGCCATAAATTCTCCCAGAAATGTCAGGTCAATAGCGCCGAGGACACTTAAGATCTTGAGGGTTTGAAAAGAACCCTAGAGAATCCGGTGTTGTTAAATGGGCCAGGAGAAAGAGAGAGAGACCATTCATTAGCACCTCTGTGACCCCTCACCAATTATTCTATTGAAGAACAGCCTGCCTCTCACTCACAGTTGGCCCTAAGCCCCTCAGGGCGCCCAGAGCGGGTTACATAAGACAAGTAAAGAATGCTCCAGAAAAGTCTTCAGGCATGACCTTGGCTTTGACAGAGCACTCCTAATGGTCCTGTTCCTCCAGCGCTGTCACATGGTTAAAAGTCACATCAAGTTGAGCCTCTTGACTTCTGCAGCTCTCTCCTGGTTGGTCTACCTGCAAGTGCAACCTAAACCTCAGTTCTCACACAATACACCGCTTCCTTTACTGGCTAACGGTGGCTGCCTAAATCCACTTCAAGACATTGGAACTGGTCTACTGTGCTGTGAATGGATCAGGCCCTTACTACATCAAGGACATTGCTCGCGAATCCCTTGCTAGTCCTTCACTGCGAGTAGCCCAGGTACCCCTCTAAGGAAAAACACCTGTTTGCTACCGGCTCAAATATGTTGGAATCGGCTCCGATATCAGGACAGCACAAAGTCTGCACATCTTGCATTGCAGACTTATAACCTTCCAGTTTTTTTCTGCAAAAAAAAACACTCGCTTACATGCGTAGCACTTTGAAGGGTTTGGCTTTATGAAAAGCTTTCATTTGCAGCGAGAGAATGTGCAAATGACAATAATAAATACTTTACTTCACGCATAAATCAATTGTTGAAGTTTCTTTACTAAGCCTTTTTTTTAATCATTTATCTCAAATAGACATGATGGGAAACCCTCATGTATATAAAATAGTATTTATCAACTTAAATCTGCTAACAATTATGTTGCTTTTTATCTTAATTATTGAGGCTTTTAAATTGTTGAGTTACACATGCACACTCACTGTTAATGTTATCTCTTTATAGAAGCATAACTAGCCCAATATTTTTTTTCACAAAGACTGTTTAGTGTATTTAGTTTGTAAATGTTGCACATAGTTTATTATCGGTTTTAAAGAGTGCCCATAGGCAAACACTGCTACCTTTATTCATATAAACTTCAAGTGCACTTTATCTAAAATGTTATCATTACTATAACCATATGTTTTATTTCCTTGTGGGAAAAGAGCGAGGAAAATATCTATTAACTTGATTGCTCAATAAATCAGTCAGTAATTAAAGTCAATAATTACAGACCCTTAGAGTTTTCCGTGCTCAGGAAGTCCTATATCCAGCTTTGTTCTCAATGCTTTTCGTTTCCATGTCCAAAAAGGTCTTAAATTAGGATATATATGGTTTATAATCATCTTTTATTGTAAAAACAATGTTAAACTTCTTTTTAAAGGTAATATTGGCAGCAGTCCCTTAAAGTCATGTTTAGAAACAAAGTGAAGCAGGAGGAGTGGAAGCTATATTGAAACAACCTTGTCTGTTTTGTTAAATCTAAAACATTTGGGCAAAACTTCTCAGAATTGCTATTTTTATTTATTTGATTTTACGCTTCATTGTTAGTCCAGGGTGGTGTTCTTGCTTGATGTTTGCACACAGCAGTTAGGTTTGGCAAGAGCATTTGATGAATAAGCTGCCCTTTGCTAATAATAAGTCAGAAGATGAAGAAAGGGGTGAGTGACTCCCATACTACTTGGGTTCGTCTTATTGTTCATGGCGTGTTCAGGCAACCATTTCTGTAATCATAGGTGTGTAACATAACCTCAGTAACTCTTTGGTCTGTTTGTGAGGGAAAAAGGTATACTGTACCACCCTACCGCGACCGCTTTTTGTCCCTTCTTTATGTTCTTGTCTGTCTCTTACTCCCTGAGCATACTTGATTATATTTTTTAAATATTCTCCCATCGTCTAATACTTGTTCCATTTGTATCCCTTCACTCCTTCTCTCATTTCTCATTGTTTCCTTCCCTTTTATAATGTATTCCTGATTTTATCTCTCTCATTCATCTTGTACTTTGTCATTTGTCTTCCCCAGCCCCCATATCATTTTCCTTTCCCAGAGTGTGTTGTGCGCTGGGAGTCCTGGTACTGAAGAGAAGAGCCTGTCCCTGTGTGGGTCCAGAATTTGCCATGAGATCGCCCACTCCTGGTTTGGCCTGGTTATCGGAGCACGAGACTGGACTGAGGAATGGATCAGCGAGGGCTTTGCCACCTACCTGGAGGACATTATCTGGGCCCAAGCTCAAAAAGTACTGAACAAGCAGTGCCCAATCATTGTAGTTTACTACAGCCACTTTATGAAAGTAACAGTTTTAGGCTGTCACTCACTGAAAACAAACACTTTTTTGCAATATAAGCTTCCAAATCCACAAGTTAATCCAGTTTAAGAAGCCCAGTTTGCTTTTGGCTAATTCAAAGAAGTTAAAACGCATAACACTCTTATTAGAAATTAAACCATTTTGTTTATTATCTTAATGATTATTGAAATTGTTTTTTAGGTTGTGTAGTTCATTTATTTCTCTTTGTTGTCTAAAATTACCATTATAACATAGTATCCAGCAGATTAATACTACTGATAAAGTGCAACAACACAGGTTGACATTCAATCTTCCATTTCCACAACATATGTGCTTGGATTTTACAATGTTACTGTTGTGGTTAGAGTACACTTTATGTAGAGTTGGCCATTACATTACCCTAGTAAAAACAATCCACCAGACAAACAGGGAACCAGTTTGAGACACCAACCCAAGTCTCTATGCAATAAAGCACACTCAAGGTCAGAGAAGTTGGCCAAACAAAACAAAAGGGTGAACTAGTTCCTGGGCCAACTACGAAATAAACCGTCAAACGCAAACTTCGTTCCGACTAACGTCAAAGGAGAAAGCTGAACCATGCACGTTTTTTTAAAAGAACTACTGCTACCTACTCCTCAAAAAAGTGCAGATAATAGATACAATTAAAGATGACGCCTCAGATATCCTTTTAATAAGTGCTTAATAAAGTTGATTTGGGATACTTATGAAATAAAAAGGGAAAAAACAGGGCGAGGTCGGAGCATGGGTATAAATCTTTTGCTTGCAACACTTACTTCATCTCTGATCCGGGATCTAATCCTCCTACCTGCTTTCCCACACCATCTAGAGTTACACAAATGTTTTTCTTGTGTCTCTGCTGTTTAACCATGTCACCTTTATGATGTGTGTTTAGCTCTGAAGAAATAGATTTAATTAGACCTATCATTGCTGCCAACAATAATAAGAAACAGTGGCAGAGGTACAGTGTGTGCTTTTGTTATTTGTTGTTGCTGATCAAATCACCATATTTAGGTTCTGATGTCTTTTCTCTAAATGAACACATATTTTAAATGTTCCATATCTCACCCCTCAGCTCCCCTCACAAGAGACAGCAGAACAGTCTGACTTGAAGGCTCTGCTGAGGTGGAGACGGCTCTCTGATGAGTTGCAGAACTCAGACGAGGCACTTCAAATCCTCAGGTAAGTGTGTGTTCTTTTGTCAAGTACATCTGTTTTTATTATCATATTGTAGTTGCCACTGTAGAGGAAATGGCTCCTTGAAAACTGTGTATGAGCACATATATATATATATATATATATATGCCTATACTTGAGGCAGACTTGAAATTGACCCCAAATGCTCACTGCTGATAGTCTTCCACACTGTTAGTTTGATCCAAGTTTCAAAAGAGACTCACTCAAGCACCCTTGGTTCAACGAGTACAGATGTGGCAACATCCTCTCACTGCAGTCAGTGTAACTATCTGCACGTGCAGACACACACGTGAGCGTGAGGTAAATGCATTCCAGGGTACAGGTGTGGCACACAAGCTCACATACTAACTCTTCATCTGATCCTGACAATGTGGGACCCACACCCAGTTAGTTTTATCCAGGGTGGAATCGTAGTGTCATCAGCGGATTATCATTTTAAGCCCCAGCCTTCAGTTAACCGTTTAAGGGTCAAAATGCATGTGTTAGCATTTGCTTTTCATATTGTAACTGTTCCTCTGAACAAAAAAAGCCTCTTCACTGGAGATAACACTTGTTGCATAGTGCGCTATTGACATTCACGCTTGTAAGAGACCATGCAGAGCGTGACAGCAAATCAATGTGTTATTGATTCCATGGCACTTCTGCTTGGCACTAAGTTCTAACTATGTCACTTCACTAATAACATGTTGTCATCACACAATGGAAACACTTTTAAATTGATAGTGTTAAGAGTTTAATTTAATTTAGGGAAATGTTCAGTATTACAGGAGGCATGTGGCGCAGTGGAATAGTGCGTTGGTGTTGGGATCAGGGGAGCACAGGTTCAAACCCCACTGCAGTCAGCATGTCATTGTGTCCCTGGGCAAGACACTTCACCCCAAATTGCTCCTGTGGGGATTGCCCACAGTATTGAGTATGCAAGTCGCTTTGAATAAAAGCGTCTAACAAGTAACATGTAATGTAATGTATTAGTTATAGTGATTTAACTCATTTGTTGCTTTCAAGGACTGTCCTCATGGGTTTATAAAGGTCTCAGCTATTCATCGGTGACTGTTTGGAAATATGTACCTCAGTGTCCATACTGACATGTTGACTACCTCCAATGTACTGTATGTTGTGAATGATGAAGTTATACATTTGGTAGGGTTAAACATAGTAGAATGATCTATTGTGACACTGTGATTAGATCTTGAAACAGGAAGCTGTGTGAATGAAAGGGTTAAACAAGCAGTAGAAAGCTGTGTCTGTCTAGGAGTCTTTCAGGGTGTTCCTTTATGAGGCAGACACACAGGTGTTTAGGAGGATCAGGGTTAGGTTTCTCTGCACCTGACGGGGTTAAGTCAACAACGCTAAACTCACATCGGAAAAATGTGCACAAACAAAGACATACATGTTGACTGATTATCTTACACAAAAACACATTAGTATTGAAAAGACTAAGTAAGTTGCTCAAGTGTGCAGTGGAATTCACCATTGTAATGTAGCTGAGGTTTACACTGGTTCTGAAGACATTTGAAAAAATACACTACAGGAATGCACTACTGTTTTTGTTCTCTTTTGCTTTGGCATGTTTTTCTGATGGAACATAAATGCACTGAGCTACAACTGCATTGTGTTGTGCAACCCTGTGTTTCAGAATAACATGAATGAGCCTTCATTTGTTGAATGCTTCAGTCAGTTACAGGTTTTTACTCTGAAAATGCTATGGACACTTTTAGATCATCAATATGACCTTGGCATGGGTAAAATGGGATATGATACAGGTTGGTCATTTCAGAATAAATTCCAATTAGTTTCATGGAAAGAATTATATCATTAGGTAAAACTTAAAGGGAAATTGCTGAGTTACGTAGAGCTTCTTTCAGTGGACAGCAGGTCAGCTTAACGTGCAAAAATTTGAAATGTGCCGACAAGCAAGCATACAATTCAACAGATATGAAGAATAAAGTTGCCAAAAACAAATGAATGAGATTCTTCTTATAAATAATGTTTAGTACTACATTTTACATACATATTTCCAGGAACCCCCTCAACAAATGACCAAGAAATGACAGACCTGTAAACTAAAATGTTACCCAATTGTATTTCCATAATCATGCTTTGAAGCTAAATCAACTTTTAACTTTCAGTTATTGAATCAGTCATTTCTCTGACGCATTGTATACCATTCTTGAACAATGAAATGATGAGAAACATTATGACTCTCAACCATGTCTCCAAGACTTGAATCTTAGTTAAACTCAAGAGGCATTTCAAGGTTATTTAAACATCTTGGTTTATTTCAAAGTTTGGAAAATACCTGCTGCTTTTTGATGTGTGCTATACAGCTCGTATGTCCAGGTCATAATGCAGCTCCACTTATTGCTTAGCATTATAACTGTGGGAAAACATAATATAAATAACATTAACCACAAACCGGTTGTCACAATGCACAGATACTGTATGTCAGAGAGGACCTGGTGAAGGGAAAGAGTGCAATGGGATGAACAGAGAGATATCATGCTAAACCCCACCAGTATACACACAAAAACACACACATAAAAGGCTAAATGGCAGATTGTGCTTTTACAAGTTCAGTGGGTCACAATCGACACCCCCTGATCCAGCAGGGGCCCCTGTGCCCAGTGTTTATCAGTCCATTTCAGATGAGTTATATTTAGGGCAGCCTGGGCCAGACGCCATTCTCCCTGCTGATTCACTAGGCTGCTGGGAGCACTGCTCTACCTTATCCGGTTTCCACAGTCGGCCCAGTGTAATTTGTCAGGATATGGCTCGCGGAGCTATAAACCTGTGTGTGTGTGCGTGTGTGTGTATGTTTTACATTAAGTTCTGTCAGTTATAGCTCCTGATTTCTTTCTGCTCTTTCTCTCCCAGACACACCAAGGTGTATGCATGGCTACACACACACACACACACACACAAACACTTACACACATGGCCTATACGAGCCAGATTAGAGCGGCGTTTATTCTCCAATACATTGAGCTATTGTGTGATTCTCCAAGGCAGCAAGCAGCGATTCCTCTTAAAGCTATAGTAAATCATCTCTGACAAAGAGAGGAGAGGAAAGACAGAGATTTACTCATCCATACAACCCTGGTCTGGACAGTGGGAAGGGTAGAGTTCTTTTGTCTAACATGGCACTGATGGATCAAGATTTATTTTCTTTCCGTAGCCGGATCTCTCACGCAGGAAACTGACACATTTTCTTTTCTGAAAATGCATGTTCTATCATTGTTTTGTGTTTCGCTTTCTGTATGTCTGACCCTCACACACAAACAAACACACACACATCATTTCCCATGGAGGCAGCACGTCCTGCTGTCTCAGAAAAAGTCTATTTCATCTTATCAGCAGTAACAGACAGACACGGGCACTACAGGCAGGAGACTGGACAGAGAGCAGGTTAAAAAGTACCTCCACAATAAAGAAACACAGTGGCCATTTAAGGATATTTAAAGGACAAATTGTTGAACGGCTAAGACAAACAGTGTGTTTCACAGATATAATTATGTCAATCCATATTTTCACTGTCTCCTAATATTGAGCTTTGTGTACAGACAATGAGCAATATTACTAGGATGTTCCTAAAATAGATTTTCCCAAATCATGACATTGATTTATTGATTTTTTTCTCACACAGAACATGAATATAACATGCGCACATGTATATACAGTAAGGAGGAACACACCTTCATTTGCATTATGAAAGTCCTTCTAAGAGTGTCTAGTTGAATTAAAAAAACTCCAGAAAGTTGATGACATCCTTACTCAGTCCTATGACTAAACCACACATTTCTGTTTCTATATTGTTGTTAACTTCTGCCAAACCACCTTGTATTCAACCCTATCCTAATCCTGCGTTTTTGCTCAGCATGCCTGGACAAAGACTCAAATAGATCAAATATATGACCAACTTGTGTCTCGCAGTAAAAGCCTTTCTCCAAAAAGGAAACTTTAAGGTTTTACATCAAAGATAAATGAGTGGGAATGTGATACCGAATGTGTTTTTGGCCTCCATCATGTCTGTGTGTGTGTGTGTGTGTGTGTGTGTGTGTGTGTGTGTGTGTGTGTGTGTGTGTGTGTGTGTGTGTGTGGTGTGTGTGTGGTGTGTGTGTGTGTGTGTGTGTGTGTGTGTGTGTGTGTGTGTGTGTGTGTGTGTGTGTGTGTGTGTGTGTGTGTGTGTGTGTGTGTGTGTGGTGTGTGTGTGGTGTGTGTGTGTGTGTGTGGTGTGTGTGTGTGTGTGTGTGTGTACCTGTACCTGTCATGAAGCGGTCCTGTGGAAGAGTGCTAGCCGGTGATGAAGGGTGTATTGATTGGTGGGCCAGGCGCCTAGCGTATCGACGTGGCAGGGGGGTGATCCTTCAAGGCCTTCCTATTGGCACACTGAGTTAATCTGCTCAGCCTGATCAATACCGCCTAACTGAAACTATCATTGCACAGCATCCCACGTCAGTGCTGCGTTTGTCTGGATTTGATTGGTTTTATGTGTGTTTATGGAGGTTGAAGGGATGATTTGTATCTGTGTGACAGGGAAAGCAAAACCTGGAGCATGCCTCTTTTGTGCCTGTGGACATTGGTGCTTTTTTGTGAAAGTGTTATATGTTCGCTCAGTGAGTCATGGGCAGTAAAGTCAGAGCGCAGCACTGTGAGGTCATATAAACAGTATAGCATGCTATTATAAATCTGCAGCTTGATTTCCTGCCTGCCTCGGGCAAAGTATGGCAACTTGGCAAAGGGTTAGCCATTGAGAGGACCGGCTGAGTGGCTGGATTTTTGTGCTGCTGACAGTGTATTCCTGCTCTTTAGAAATGGTGGTTTTCCTGCAACTAAAATGCCTGGAGCGGGATAAAAAAAAAAAAATTCTTGGTTACGTTTTTTTCCCTCCAATACCTCTCGGTTTTTGCTTTTCTGTGTGTGTCATTTTCTGGACACCTCCATTTTATCGTGGGCCCTTGTCAATTTCTTGACCTGTCTTTTACCTATCTTTCTTTGTCCTTCTGCAGACCTAACATGGGGAACACTGGTCAGGTCAGTGAATCTGGCTCATCTACGGTTAAACATGCCCTTAACCCAGACAAAACCTTCATGCAAGTCCACTACCTCAAGGTAAGATAAATGAGAGAAAGACAATGGGAAAAATCAGGGGGTAATGAATAGAGGCAATAATAAAGAAAAGCGAAAACAAAAGGGATATAGAATACATAAATCAAAATTACCAAAACTTCTTGTGGCTCTTTTTGTTAGATGTGCTAGGATTGGAGATAAAGTGAAAATCGATGTTGCTGAAAAGTTTCTCGTTATTCTCCCCATGAATCATGTTTTCTTGTTGTTATTTGTCCTTTGTCCAGGGTTACTTCCTCCTCAGGTTCTTGGCCAGTCAAGTGGGAGAGCAACAATTCATCAATTTCTTCAGATTATTTGTGAAGAAATACCATGGGCAACTCATCTTGTCTCAGGTGGGGCTTCAGTAAAGGAAACCAGATGAATTTAATGTAAAATTGCATTGTTAACTTCCAGCTACTTGAGAGGCTGTTAATAAAAAGCTGAGCTCAGATTAGACGGTTTTAATATGACCTGTCTCTGAGGCACAACGTTATTTCATTTAATTAATTTGAAGCTGATGTAAGCTTGATTGCCACTAGTTTACAATAGTTGAACATTCTCCAGCAGCTTTTCCAAATTGATGGCCTTACATCAGCTCAGCCACATATGTTTATTCTGCTGGAGCCATGAAGCTGAGTGATCACACCTGGAAGTGTGTGTGTGTGTGTGTTGTGTGTGTGTGTGTGTGTGTGTGTGTGTGTGTGTGTGTGTGTGTGTGTGTGTGTGTGTGTGATGTGTGTGTGTGTGTGTGTGTGGTGTGTGTGTGTGTGTGTGTGTGTGTGTGTGTGTGTGTGTGTGTGTGTGTGTTGTGTGTGTGTGTGTGTGTGTGTGTGTGTGTGTGGTGTGTGTGTGTGTGTGTGTGTGTGTGTGTGTGTGATGTGTTCCACCTGGCTCGTGCTTCTTCGGTGAAAGCCTGAGTCTTGCCACTAAATAATGTATGTAACATAAACACTGTTTAACCTTTCACTCCTGACTTACGATCAAGTATGCCTTTCTCTTCCTTTTTGTCTTCCACCCACACCTCGCTAAATGCATTCATTTCTGTCTGTATTTTTCTTTTCTTTTTCCTTCAGGATTTCCTGCAAATGCTGCTGATTACCTTTCCCGACTTGGAGAGGTATGTAAGTGGCTATGAATAATGCTTACAGTGTAAATCAGGAATAATGAAGAAATGTCTGGACGCATTAAAATCACTTAGGTTTTTCTAAAGTATCACTAGGTTGGTTTCCAGTACAGATTCAAGATATGTTATTCATTTTTTTCTCAACAGATGTGACTTGTTGCAGATTTATATATGAGCATGTGTTGATTTGGCCTCAGTTTTTAATCTGCTGTGAAAACATGACCAGCGAAAGCTCCCCAAAACAAATCCTGTTAAGAGAGCAGTCTTATCCACTCTCATATTAATTGAAGTGTAAAAGGATAACTGCTCCTCCTGCTCTCCTCCTCTCTAATTTTCTCTTTCCCTCTCTGCGCTCGCTTAATCATTCATTTCCCTATTTGTCCTGATTGCCTCATTAACCTCTTCTTCTGCCTGTCTATCTCTTTCTCCCTGTCTGTCTTTCACTTTATTTCTCCCAACCCTTTAACACTTATTCTCTCACTCCTTTTTTCCTCCGCACCTCTTTGTCTGAGTGTTGACTCTTTGCTTTCTCTGTCATGTGGAGTGTGCTGCTGAACTCGCAGAGATTGATTATATTAAACAGGGGGAGTTGGGGACAGTCAATATTTGGATCCGGTGCCTCTTTCAGTAAACAACATGCTAGACGGTTCAGGATGAGAATAGACACTGTTGAGGGTCATGGCCGCTCTTTGTGCACGATCAAATATCCTGCCAATTCCCCAGACTAAATGAGGAACATTAAAATGAATAGGACTTAACAAAAAGCTATTAACAAACATTACAAAAATTATTTCTTCTTTGATTTCTACTAATAAGAAACCACGGTTTTCCAGATATCAACGTCACTCTTTCTCATACTGTATGTCACCATAAAGGTGAATAACCAATCAAATGAAATCAAGATACCAAGCTCAACGTGAAAAAACTGGTGCACACATGTCTCGTCTGCTCTCGTGAGACGTAAAGCTTATTTATATCCAGTCTTATTATGAAACAGCATTTGACAGGTCCTGTGGTGTATTAACCTTTTGTTTGCCACGAATGAAATCTATGCACACATAATACCATGTAATCCTGCCTTATGGTGTCTCCCTGTTGATCTGGCAGATGTTCAGTCTTTATATACTCTCTTTGATTCATCTCCACATACGAAGAGCTGCTATTAGCTTGTGGTGAAGTCACTTTTAATGTCAAGTTGATAGCGAAGTGTTGCTTATAAAGTGAGTATTACCCATTTTAGTACACAGAGGAGAATGAACAGCTTGTTGTAAGCCTCATTTTACAGAAAGCTCCAGCAGCGGAGTGTCTATTGCTTCTCTTGCTTGTGTGTCCGACACTGAGGTCCCAATTTAAATATCTCAACACGTATTAAAAGGATTCTCTTGAAGTTTGACACAGACATGTGGGTCCGCACAGAATGAACTGCGACCATTATACCACAATAGCATCAGCCTTCAGCAAATAAGGAGATGAGAGGCAGATGAAGTCCAGTTTGACTGATGCAAACTGATTCCTGTCTGACTGGGTCCAGCTGAGCCTGACAAGCTCAGCCTGAGGTGTCCTTAAATGGCCCCTCGCACATAGGTTGAACCCACTACAGCCTCGTAGTAAAGGCATGTAATGACCTAAAAGTCTAAAGCAATAGACCTATTGAGAGAGACATGTTGCCGAACATGATGAAAAACTGAAAAAGAAAGTATCTCAATGTCTGAAATAGAAACAAGTACTTCAGTAGTTTATTGCAAACCAAAATTCCTGGATGTCACTGACATGCCTGTCAGTGGGCAAGACTTTGCATCTTTCTGAGTATTATACAATGTATTTATAAAAGTATGTCAGGCGTTAGAGATTCCCTTATCTGTACTTTCAGGTTGGAGTTCCTTCAAAAATATTTTTGGCAAAAGTGGGAATTCGTTAATGGTGCCTCAGTTAAAAGAGCATAGTTAGGAGAAAATGTGTGTGCAAAAATAAAATTTAAATCGTTTCCTTGTGGAAAATAACACTTTTTAATGGGCTCAACATAACATATTAATATACAGTAATTGCTTAAGACTAGCCAAGTGGGGAATTTTCCTTTAAGCAAAGCCTTGCAGGATTGATGATGGGGTGGGGGGTATTGCTGTGGAAGTCACTCTTTCACAGTTGTGTACTTAACACTTAAATACACATTGCGGACTGCTTGTGGAATGTTTGTTTGTGCACATTAATCTATGCAAGCCTTTTCTGTCACCGTGTGTTTTCTGTATGTATATGACCATTTCCATCTGCAAAACCATACACTTGAGTCTCTCCTCAGCCACACGCACACTTATGTTGACACACTTGCTTGCTATACATGCAGAAAAGCCCAATTCATTGTCTGTACATGCCTGTTTGCTTGTCCTTGTGTAGGAAAATGGGTGTGCCCCTCTTTTTTGTTTAAGGTGTTGGCCTAAACCTCTAGTCCACCACGACCCCAAACATATTTTCCCAAAGCCATGTTTTCATAGGGTGTCTTGGGCAATAACAGTCATTGCTATAATAATAGGAATAATACTAACACTTGTGCCATTGTGTTGCAGAGAAGGCCTCACCCTCAGTGCTATTCATGCTGACTGGCTCGATCGACCGGGAATTCCAAAGGTATGAAGAGTCTTTTTTTTCTGCCTTTTGCTCTTTAGAGAGTTTGAGCATGTTGCTTGAATAAATAATATATTTTCACTAGTTAAAAACCAACAAGCCAAATAAAGGTGGATAATTAAACATTTAATAATAATTTAATTTAGACCATTTAGACCTGAACATAATAAAAAACTATTTTTTTGTCTGAATGAACCACTTTTCACAATCTATCTGAAAGGTTTTGTTTTGGCCTTGTTTAGGCTTGTGAGGGAAATATTGTGCACCTTTGCAAAAAAGGTTGTTCACAAGCTGTAGGTGAAAACAAAAATAAAATGTAGGGAATTTAAATCTGAATGGCTTGTTGAATCCCATGTTCTGACCAAGGCAGCCCACAAAGAAACTCTTGGGGTTTGATTTGGTGTTGGTATGCACTCAGGATAAACAAATACCGTATAAGTGTCACTCCTTAAAGGGCAGCACAATAGTCTTAGTTTGCTTTTCCTTTTTAGTTTTTCTCTCCTGTTGTTTTTCTATCCAGTGGTCATATGACTGCTGATACCTGAGCATTATCATCTTTAATAACAGATTGATATGGTTTTGAGATCATGCATCAACTAGACTTTAATAAAGTTAAGATGCTGTGTTCGGATCCAGTTCAAAGCCCACGGGGTTAAGTGTGGTTCCATGCTGGGGGAACTTTCCTTGTTTTGGGGAGTGTGCTCTTAGCATTTGCTAGACAAAAGAAGCTGCATTACTTTTTTCACACTATTTACCAGCTTTAAATGGCGGCGTCATGACACTATTCTAATGGCAATTATGTCTCATGTTATGGCTTTCGGTATACTATAAATACTGTGGCTTAAATGACTCGTGACTTTTAGCCAGTAGGCATTATGAAACTGCTAGACATTGAGTATAGCATTTTTTTTTTTTTACTTTCAAAAAAGATCTGATGACATCTTGATGATGAACTGAATTCCACTGTAGGGCATCACTAGCTGCTACGTTTATTTAAAGAGCTAATCTTACGTTTCATTGTGTTGTTGAATCATTATTACCCCCTACTGTCAGTGTATCTTGACAAGGTGAGGCTCTTCCTCTGCCCTCTTATTCACACACACACACACACACACACACACACACACACACACACACACACACACACACACACACACACACACACACACACACGCACACACCCATCTCCATGGTAACTGATCTTAATGACCACTATGTGTATGTGCATTGTGTGTATTTGCACTCTTGTTGCTGTCTGGGAACCTTGCAGATTGCAGATTATGTGATGATGTAAATGGAGCCTTTCAGGGGCCTGAGGGTGGGAGGAAGGCATGGAGGGACTGCTTTTTCACACCTGATTGGGTGACGACTAGAGTGGTCTTGCAGAGGCTTTTTTTGTGTTTGATGTGCCAGTCACCAGCTAATAAGATCAGCCAGATCGATCGAAACCTTTTAGAGATGCGAGTGCTTGTGTATTATGTACACTAGACACAAACACATTTTTAAAGTCTCTCTCTCCCTCTGCTTTCTATTCATCCCTCGACAATGTGCTTGAATTGGAGAAAGGCAGGAAATGGTTTGGCCTAATAATAAACAATGACATTTGACGTTCCTGGAGTAAGAGAAGCCAAGGCTGGCCTATTTTAGACCTCAGAGTTTAGATGAGTAAGCGCTCTCTTTGGGATGATGGATCTAGGCTGAGAAACCTCGTTTAAGATTTTTTACTAAAGCTTTCGGCCTGTTACCTTCACAGCTCAATTGAACATTTTATATTTGTCTGCATGGCTCATGACTAAAACCTTGTGTTTTAACCAATTATTACAAACAGATATAACATAGTTATTTAAACTACTTTACCTAGCATTAAATGTTTACAGTTCTTCCAGGCAGAACTTTGATATGGATGTACTTGGCCCTACAAGCCTGTGCAGCTTTAAAATAAATCTAAATTGGCTAATTTAACAAAGGAAAGACTGCCAAGTACGAGAGTTCAAACTTTCCTTGTTGGGTTAGGGTAACCCTAACCCCATCCGACTCTTCTGTCGCCAAATTATTTGTCTTAGTTTCGATTTGATTGTTTGATTCAAATCAAAATATGCTACTCTTTTATTTTCGTGAAAGTTTTGGCTTATATATTAAATAAAAAAAACAGCTTTATTGTAAAAAAGAGTTTGTCTATACTCAGCAAAGTAAGGTATGGTTCCAAAAGACTCTGGTATTGTTTTGTCATTGTATTTGGGATTGCAAAATCAAACTGTGTATTGATCTCAGGAAGATCAAGGGCATGCCTTTCGTGTGTGTTTATGAATTAGAGGTGTAACTTCTGAACTTGCAACCTGATATTGATTCAATGGAGACACTACACAGACGGGGGCAGGATGAAGAGAGGTAGACAAAAGCCTTTCTATTCAGGGAATGGTAGTGGGGATCTAGGCAGCAAAATACCCATGTGGTAGGTATCCTGTTACACAATGCCAATTTGATGCTTCAACACTCACTACTCCATATAGCCCACTCGAACACCTCCCTCTCTCTGTACCTCTGTGTCTGGCTCTCTCTCCCCATCTCCTTGGCTTCCACACACACCCCATCATGCTATTTCTGCCGGAGTACTTGTATAATACACACAGAAGAGTACTCAGGCATGCAGCTATTGTATTGAACTTTGTGTGTGGCTATGGTAACAGCATTAACAGCTGAATGTGTGTGCGGGGGCCTATGTGTGTGTATCCTAGATAGTATGAATATCATGCTGCATCTCTCTCGTGTGTGTGTGTGTGTGTGTGACATTAATAACACGTTGCTTTCCTGCACTACCTGTCTTTCTTCTTATTTTCCCACCACACACACGCACTAGCATAACCACGCTCTCACACACACAACCCCTCACTGTCATCAGCATCAGTCGAGCAGCTGAAAGCCTTAATAAGGTTAGAGAGTAAGTGCTGTGTGTTTGTGCTGTGTAGCTGCTCTGTGCGTAGGTGTGTGTTTGCATGGAGGAGGTAACTGTCCGTCCTGTTGTTGTTATTGACATGATGTTTTCCTTCCTCCTTCTCCTCTTTTTTTTCTTTTCTCCTTCCCCTTTCCCTCATCCTCTGAAGTCAATTGGCGAGTTTCCGCCAGAGGAACAAGTGATCGCCACTCACCACCTACTCCCTCCTCATCCCACCTCTCCCTCCCCTTCCTGCTTGGCTTCGGTCTCTCTCTCTCCTCTCTTCTCTCTCCTCTCTCTCTCTCTCTCTCTCTCTCTCTCTCTCTCTCTCTCTCCCTCTCTTCTCCTCCTCTCTCTCTCTCTCTCTCTCTCTCTCTCTCTTACTGTGCTTCTGCAAAGCATTCCACTCCCGGCTCACAGCTTTCCCTTCTTCTCTCCGTTCAGTGGCTGTATGAAAGAAGCGCCGTGTGGTCACAGGCGAGGCTGGTGGAAGAAGTCAAAGCAGAGGTAAGGACTCTCTCCCCCTCTTCTCTATGTCCCAGTTTCTTCTTCTGGTCTTCGGGGAGTGGCAGACAGACTCGGGGTCAGCTCTCAGATTTGAAGTCTAGCAGCTTTGATTGGTTGATATGATTGTATTCTGACTCTCACCTCTCTCTTTTCCTTCACTCAAATATTCTGCCTGTATTTCTCTGTACTGTCTTGTCTGTTTTTCCTCTCCTGTCTCATTCATACGCTCTGTTTCACAATGTTTGATACCATCTCTTATCTTTACTTCAGTTGCGCTTCATCTACCTCTCCTTTTTCATTTTCTCCCTGTTTCCATCTCTCCCTCTGTCTGTCTCTGAGTGAAGTGCGGCACACAGCGCTGTACATCTGTTGCGTGTCATTCTGTGCTGCCTATCATATTTCCCGTAGTTTTCTTAATTGTTTTGCCTTTATTATCCAATGTCCCCATTCATTTGTGTTTTCGAAGTACAATACAATCAGACCTGAAGAGTATATTTGTCAAAGGTATTCTAAATTACTTAAAACGCAAAGAATGATTGAATGCTTTTGCATCTTAGAAATGACTTGTACACTTTGTGTGCTGATGTAAAACCTCACTTTTTTAACAGTTCAAACTGTGTTACTCTGAGATACAAAGTGAAGTGGGGGAGAGGAGATAGAGTTTGGCCTTGATTGTCTGTTTAATGGAGATCTATGGTGTAGGGAGTTGCTCCGCTCCAGGCTCCGTCACAGTTACATACTTTCACTATTACTCTTTTGTCCCAGCCGGCCGTTTGTGTGGTTATATATGGAGCACAATTGAGCGCTGAAAGGTTGGAATAAAAGTGCGTGTGTGTGTGAGAGAGGGAGAGACGGACCCCTTTAGACTGTTGTTCATTTGTGTGTGTGTGTGTGTGTGTGTGTGTGTGTGTGTGTGTGTGTGTGTGTGTGTGTGTGTGTGTGTGTGTGTGTGTGTGTGTGTGTGTGTGTGTGTGTGTGTGTGTGTGTGTGTGTGTGTGTGTGTGTGTGTGTGTGTGTGTGTGTGTGTGTGTGTGTCTACTTGACGCTCTGTCAAGGCTTGCCTGCCAGTGAGAGTAGATATATGTATATTAATGCATGCCTTTCCACATGAGAGATGGAAAGTGTGCATTAAGTCTGTTTATATTTACTTTCTGCTATTGGATATAACATTCACTCTCTTACACCCTCTCCTTTCTCCCCTCTCTCCCTTTTTCTCCCTCTGTGTCATCATTACACCTTTCTGATTACTTCTCTCATGTTCTTCTTTTTTTCCATTTCGCCTTCACACTGCCTCAACTCCTCTCGCTCAAAATCACTTTGTTGTCTCTAACTACCTTGTCTTCTTTTTCCCGCCTTGACTACCTTACCTTACCTCACCCCCCCCCCCCCCACACTCACACCCGTACTCCTTCCGCAGGTTGTAAAATGGATTCTCCTCAGTCAGAGCCATCAGGGGAAGGGCAGAAAGCGGAAGAGAATAGAGCCCAAGGTGAACTACAAAGAGGTAGGAGGCACTCTACTTTAATACCTCTATCAACCTTTCCTCAGCTTTGCTCGTTCCCTTCTTTTTTGAAAAACTTTAGCTCCCCATCTGGGTTTTGGCTTATTATAAATTAGCTGGGATTTTTTAAGAGCTGTACAGCACTATTGTTAAAACATAATCATCTCCCAATTCTGTTTATGTGTTGTGTCTGCGAGGACAGGCTAGCCTGTTCTTTAAGTCTGTGTTTATGTTGTGTCGCACACATATTTAACCTTTTAAGAGCTTGTATACCTCACATACCCTCTGCTTCTTCTGTGTGTGTGGTCATGGCCAATGTGTGGGCTGGTGTTTATGTTTGTCTGGAGGGGGTGGGGACCGTTTGGCCTCAACATTGTGGTTTTGAATCTGGTCTTGAACTGTATCCCTTTTTCTCTTTCCATACTTCCTTTAAGTTCACGCGGTTTCCTTCCAAATAAAATGATTTCCATGAAAAATATCCCAAAAAGATGGGTTTGCCCGTGTGTGTAGTGTTAATTAGTTCTCTCTAGGGATGGCTAATCCCCCCCACCCACTAATTGACACACACTCTTGCACACACGCCTGCATCATTAATGAACGCACACTGATCTATAAGCCACAGAGGGCCAGAAGTCATTAGTGAGAGTAGAGCAGCTTTTATATATCACTCTTAATATGCTCAGATTTTGTAGACTGTAGGAAACGCATTTTTTTTGTGCAGTGCATTTTACAGCATGAATAAGTTAGTGCCCCTGGGTGTCTTTGAATAAAACTTTGTAAGGAAAAGTAAAACATTAATTCAAACAGTTATTCATTACCAAGAATATTGTACATATGCATTTACTTTTTAGGCCTATTAATGTCCGTTCAACACTTGTAATTTAAGTTTTATTCATTACCAAAGTTATTTCGAGCTTTACCTAAAATCCAAAGGATATTTCACCAAAACCTTGTGTTGGAACATGTTTTTTTTCTGGATCGTATTACCTCCCAATTCCTGTGTTGTAATTTGGGGTGCAGAGTGAATGAAATGCCTGTAGAGTTGGCAGCCAGTGCAGCCCCTTTAACCACCTGATACCTACCGTCTGGCATATTGGTAACGTACACACATGCTCACAAATACACTTACTTCTAAGGGGCAGCTAAAGGGCCTCTTCCTCTTGGGGGCAGAGAGTGCTGAAATCAGCCTCATGAAAGAATAGCCAATTACTGTCCACTTGGTCATACACAAAAGTGAGAAAGACGAGGGAGGGTTGAATGGACGGACGGATGGAGCGAGGGAGAGGGGGAGATGTAGGGGGCGGGGATGTGGGAGGTCAGCGTTTGAAGTTACGACATAAAAGCCATCCTGAAAGGAAACACGAAGTGAACCCTCCCCCCTTTCCATGCACCTCTCTCCCCCTGCGGCCCGGCCCTCTCCTCTCTCCTCCTCTACGTCTCCCTCCCTTCCCTTTGTTGCGGTGTACAGAGAGTGCCCCATGGATGGACCAGGTGTATTTTATATTACTCCTTCATGTACTTCAAACAGCCCATTTTCTACTCGCTTTTCATCTACCTCTCCTCCCTTTCTCTTACCCACGTATACCAGCCTGTTACAAGGCTATAAATCACACAGCAGACCCGATCGGAAAAAGAGGAAAGAAGAATGGAGGGGGGTTAAGACTTAAAAAACATGAGACTGAAAAGTAGACAAGGAAGAAAAAGTTGTGATTAATCGTAACGAAGATACAACTGGAGCATAGAGAAATGAGAATTAGATATGAAAAACAGCACTTTATGCTACCGCTGGGCAATATGTATCCCTTGTGGTTATCTTTTAGTGTTATTCAAATTGGAAAGGAAATATGGCTTTAAACCACAAAATGTAGCAGTTAGATGGAAACATACAAAGGGAAATTAGTTAGTAGAGGATTTGAGTAAAATAGGTGATGGAATGACGAATGGAAAGAGTAGATGAAGAAGTAGAGAAGTAGAGCAACACCGAGAACAGAACTTGGTAAGAAAGGATTTTAGGAGCTGATGTTCGGGGCAAGAGCGAGACTAGTGGTTGGTTAGAGGTTGATTATTATGATTTCCAGTAAGTAATGCATCTGCTGGGGCATTTAAGGATATGAAGAGCAGAGTGGATATTTGAGAAGATGAGAGAAGCACACGAGAGATGAAATATTACTGGATTGGCCAAATAGATAATAGCGATTAGAGAGGAAAAAAAGGCGATGGAGGAATAATGAAGGTAGGACATTTAGTTGCCAAGTATTGGGCTGCGCCACGGTTGCATTTAGCGCTAATGACATCATGGATGATTAGGGAATATACGCACACACTCGTAAACCTATAGGTGCACAAAGTGGATCGCGCCAAACTCCCCCCACAGAGCAGCCTTGAGATCTGGTTTATAGAGCCAACGTTTATTAACAACTTCCTGTCGTCTTTGTTTCTGTGATACGTTATTGATTCACATGCATCTAGATGCTTGCGTTTGTACACGTGTGCGATTATATATGCGTGCGTGTGTCCAGTGTGTGTGGAGATGTCTGTAGAGGGATATTAGTCACGCCCGTGTGGTAATGGGCCTCATTTTGCTCTCATTTTCATCTGCGGTCTCCGTAATGAGAGGCTTCGTCTGCCCTTGCAGTTCAGGACAGGAAACCCTGTAGGCTAGGATGTGAATAGCAGAAGACCGTGGCCAACTTTTCTGGCAACGACAGACTCCTCTGCTCTTTTTAAAGTTGCTGTTTGTAAGTCTTCATTGATCTGGGGAACATATTGATCAACTGGACTCCACGGTAAAATTCCTCAAAGTTGATCGATAGGTATGATAAACCTAAACCTTTTCTAAAACCTCAGAAGGCTTTACAGTGGTTCAATACTCTCAGACTTCATGAATCAACTAGCCTGCAGAATGGGCTTAATGCCTGACACATGCAGCTATTCCTAAACATTATTCTTAACACATATACATAACCGGCAAAATTCTAAATAGATTTTTAAGTTCTTAATGTTACTGTAATAAAGGGCCAAGATTTATGTAGTCTTATTTTACACTTGTGCATCAAAATACAATATATTTTCCCAGTGCCTTTAGTGTAGATGTGATAAGGTTCTGTATAAATAGAGAGTGTTTATGTAGCTCTTCCTGGATAAACATATCTGGGGAATGGTGTAATCTTGGATTCTTCGGATTCCTGCAGAAATTGTTCTGTCCCACACTGTTTTTAGCTAACCTTCATGCACACCCACGGTTGGCCATGCCATCGGGAGCAACTCATCATTAAGTATCTTGCCCAAGGATACATCGACATGTGATATACAATAATATGCCTATTTGTATATTTATTTTTGGAGGCACAGCTAACAATGTCAACCTATGTACATGGTTGGGCCCATGGTTAAGGGAATATATGTCAGAGCAGGGACATCTTTCATGATAACTTCACAGATGCAGCAGAATAGGTGGATCATGAGTCAGCCTCCATCTCATCAGTGTCACTCTGTCACCTCATTTGCACCTACTTGGAAATCTGCACCCTCCTGGTCGATGCTATTGGTTACTGTGGAAACACCTACCACCAGATTTATGTTTGTGGCTGAGTAAATGTCAACAACAGGTTAAGAAGAACAGCAGGTCTTCAAACCGTACAGTGTCGTCAGTTGAACATTAATGTTTTTTTTTTGTATTTGTCAAGTGTGAGACAAATGTTGTATTTAAAGCAGGCTGTCCAGTCCACTTTTATACCTGCTAAAGATCTTTTTGAGTATTTTGAAAAGACTGATTGGAGATTGAGTCGTACCTCAGGTCTTACAAAAAATAACTTTAATCAAGGTCTATTTAGAAGTTCTTAGTCAAAGGCCAATTGACTTGCTTTCTGTTAAGCCCCTGTCACACTGTCTCGAAATTGACACCAGATGGACACACGAATATGGAATTGTGAACTTCGCACGAAGATGGCCCCGAAGTTGGTCAAGAGCCAAGCAACAGCCGAAGCAAGTACGATGCCTACAGAAGGCCACACGATGGCACCCGAACCACACACGAAAATATGGTCGTAGACTTTACTGATGATTTAGAATGTATCCAGACTCAACGTAAGAGGGGGGTGCTAACATTTAAACACTTTATTCTTTACTTTCTCCCTCTTTATATGTAGATTAGAAGATATTACTTATCTCCGTCATGTTGTTTCCATAGAAACAACAACTTCCTGTCAACAGCGTAAACTCGCCTTCAAAATGAAAGCATCTAAATAAAACAGGAAGTTAACCTAAATTACATTTAAGACAGACAACTGCAACGAAAGTAACAAAAACAATGTAATATCCTTTTCAGTTTCACAGAACACAAATTGGGTTATTTACATAATATGTTTACATGATTTTGTTGTGCAATAAATGCAATCTCGATGTCATCGTACTATAATACGATGGCTACACGACGGCATTGCGAGGGCTTCACGTAGTCGTGTTGCCTTCAATCGGGCAGCTTCTTGTTTCCTTCGTATTGTCTTCGTGAGGCGAAAAATGCCCGATGGCACCGATGATCAGACGAAGATGACACGATTTGACGAGATGCCCTCACGAGTGCCTTACGAAGGGCAAAATGGACACACGAATTCAACACGAAAATGAACCTTCGCAAGGTCCTTCGGCAATTTTTTGGCATGCCAAAGATTTTGCCACCACTCACGAAGTTGCTGCCGGAGCCTGAGAAACTCCACCGGCGGTCATACGATGGCTTAAGATGCCCTCACGAATGGCCCGATGTTGTTACGATCAGAGCCGAATTTGAACATTTCCTTTATCGTGTGTCCATCTGGTGTCAATTTCGGGACAGTGTGACGCAGGCTTTATTGAAGACGTTATACCACTCATCCAAATTGAAAGGAAATAAAGTGGACCTTGATTTGTTTTCCGAATTCAAGTTGCATTACTCTACTGCCATGAACTAAATACCTTAGAGTTTAAATAACACAGGTACAAGCTCTATTTAAGGAGATAATGTTAAC